TTTTCTTTTTTTTTTTTTTTTTTTGATTTATAAACTGTTAAATTTTAATTATATCAAAAATCATTATTTGGAGAGTAAAAAAAAGAAACAATTTTAATTTTCTATTTCACTTCTCGTAAGTGAATATTTAATTGAGCAAACAAGCTACGTGAACAATCAAACTATACACTGAAAGTTACTAAGCGAATTATGTGTTAAAGTGCAGGAAGATTGAAACACACAAACTGGTTACTTTTACTTACTTACTTACTTGCTTGCAGTTAAAGTAAAGTAGTGCTGGGATGAGTATCCAAACTGGATTTGCTTTCAGTTCTTACAAATTTCATTAATCCCTTAGTTTTTATTAACGCCTTACTAATTTTGTTACTGCGCTTGCTATAATTATGATTGTAATTGTAATTACAGTTATAATAATAATACTCTAATTAGATAATAATAATAATAATAATAGTAATAATAATAATAATAATAATAACATAAATGATAAATAATAATATAATAATAATAATAATAATAATAATAATAATAATAACAATAATAATAAACTATTATTATTGTCATGGTACAAATTTCAACCATTATAAACTAGCTATTCCGACTGAATTGTTTTTGATTACCTCCAACTTAATTCAATTCTCCTAATTACTGCATTACTTTCTAAATACTATAATGTTTGATGTTTATTTACAGATAAATTTTTTAAGCTAATAATTTATTAAGTTATTGAATGAATTGTAATTTACCACACTCTTTTCCATTATTATGAATGCTTATTAATAAAAAAAAAGTGATAAATTTAGTTGCTTTTTTTTGTCTCACATAGAACTTTTGTAGCCTAACAAAACATTCTATGAAATATTGAATAACTAATAAAAATAAAAATTAAGCTTTTGATTATTAAAAAAAATTGTGCAAAAATGTACTTGAACGCTTACAACTTACATTATTAAGCAAGACACTCAAAGAATTACTAACTGTAAAAAATTGAATAAATTTAAAAATTCTGAATTATATCGATTCATAACATATTATTATTATTGATTTTCTTAATTTTATTTTTAAATTATCTATAATGTCATAAATTGAATAGTATTATTTTTATTGAATAAATTTTTTGACGACAACTGTAAACACTGCTGGATGAGAAATAATAAATTTGACTTCATATACTATCATATCATTCAAAAAATCATAGTGAAAATTGTAGTAAAAAAAAATATGCTTTAACTTTAGCATTAATCATTTCTCTAAAACGTTATACTTTTTTAACTTTATGTCAACAAATGACTGTTCTTTTTCATAGCATTCAATGTGAAGAAGAAGTAAAGTTACATACACATACAAACGTCTACACATTTTACATATATACAGGTGTACAAATATATTTTATATCAAAAAGAGTATTACAGACAACTTTATCATATTTACTAATAGAATAAATCTTTTATTTAGATATAAATTTATAAAAAATTAAAAGTGTACAATTCATTGCAATGCTTTTTAAAAATATTTTATTGTATTGATAGGAATGACATAAGGTTAAAGGTCACAATAAATATTTATGGATCATTTATATTAACATTTAGCATCACTCTAGTAATCAAAAAATTATTCATTAGCTAAATTCTATTTTTATATACTTTTGAATTTCATATCTGTAGCATAGAATGTTTAGTGATTAAACATGGATTTAATCACTAAACATAGATTTATGACATCACTAAAATCTCATCAGTATTAGTACACTTTAATGTTGCGTAAAAACAAACAATTATGCATAAAATATGCTTTTTATTCATTTATTTCAGTCAATTTTTAAACAAATTAACAAACCCAAATTAACGCAACTGGCGCAAATAAAATAAGTAGTTTTTTTTTTTTCTCGTTAATTAATTGTTATTGAGACGAATATGCAAATTTCAACTTTAGCGTACAATATTAATGAGTAGTAGTCAATAATATATTCATTAATTTAGATGATTTTTATCATTGTTAATTGACATTGAAAATAGTGAAAAAGTATATTGTTAATAAGAACATTTGAAATTTTCACTTAAGACAAAAAATGATTACTAAAAGTAAAAATGATTATTGGAAGTATTCATAATCATTTTTAGCTAGCAATAAGTTAGTAATGAGTTAATAATATCATTTCTTTTTTCTTTTAATTTGATGACAGCAAAATGCGACAGCTGAAATTTAAATTAAGTTTTTCATTAAAATTAGTGAAATTTTCAATATATGCATCAAAATTAATGCAAAATCAAAAATCTTTAATCAAATTAAAATATTACATGTTCAACAAAAATTAGAGCTCTTTCTTTACTGAAAAAGATTTCAGAATGCACTCAATGTTAATATGCAAAATTTGCAATAAATGCAAATTATGTAGGTGATGTTGATGCAGGAGGTCAACCTCAGAAATAGTAGGTAATATGTCAAGAATGCAGAAAATGAACTTCCTTAGAAAGCAATACCGAAGCACATCCCGATGCTAACAGCATTCTTTCTACATCTTCTACAGTAATAAATCCATCTCGATCCATATCCAAATCCTGAAATTAGATGGTACTTAAACTAGCACAATAATTCTTAGAGTATAGAGTAACTACAGAGTAAAAAAGAAATCAGGAAAATTATTTTAGATCAATAAAAACAATGAAAGTACTGTTAATTCTAAGCTTACATCTTCCTGTTGTTTATTTTCGAGTTTAAGCATAATATAAACCAATAATGGAACAAAATTAAATCGTAAGATTAAAATTAATTATTTATGAATGCAATGTGAAACTTATCATAAATCGTTGTGATGCGTAAATTTTGACATTTGGCAAGCGTGAAAAACGATCCGTAACGTTAGTGAAATCCGTAGAAATGTGCATTTGACTATACAAACCATGCGTAGAGTGAGTCATAGATGAATTTAAATTGCAAACGTCCTCCACGTAACTTTCAAAAGCATCCAAATCAACTAATTTCTGGCAAAATAAAACTAGAAACGTGTGTATTGTGACATCCTTATGAGTTCAAAAATACTATTCATGTATTTGTACATTAGATAATTAAATTTTGAAATTTATGAAATCAATTTTTTTTCTTTTACATTAAAAACAAACAGAATAAAAATTTCTGAGTTAGCTTTACACAAAAATTTTTTGTTATAATTTTGAAAAAAAAAATATTTAAAAAAATCAGTACAGTAAAAAATATTAAATAATTTCATTGGCAGTAATAAATTAATCGAAATTAATAATGCCAACTAAAATAAGACCGAAAAAAATTTTAGAACTAATTGACTTTTCTATGAGATTATAATTATTGAAAATTTGTGCTTATCATTTGCATGCAGAACAATTATTTACATATTCGTTAGGCTTCATTAATGCAAATACAAATTGTGCCATCACTCTTAGTGGTGATGTTGAAGGCTGGCTTTCAGAAGAACTATCAGATTGTTGCATGCAAGAACATTTACTCATATTATGCAAACAACAAATTAATTCCTGAAAAAATACAATATATAAATTAAATTTAATTCTAAAAATATTTGATTGATCAAAAGTAGAAGTTGTAAAATTTAATTTTAAAGATTTAAATTTAATTTTTAAACTAAATAATAATGTTTTAAAAGATTTTACATATTTTTTCACAAATTTTATAAATTTTGAAGGAAATGTGTTTTAAATTTGTAAACAAAAAAAGAAATAGAAGTTATTTTATAAACATTTTTAAACATAACTATTGTTGATTTTATTACACACATTGCTCATAATAAGAGTATTTTAATTTAAATATGTAAATTTATGATTATAGGTTAGTTGTAACCCAAAGTATACTTTACTTCAAAAGTGATAAGTTTCCTAATATCATCTCCAGCAATTACATAAAATACGCGATCAGCAAACTGAGTACTGGTTGAATTTGGAAATATTAAACGAAATATTCGGCGCCATTGATGCAATTGCATACGTCCATTTGAGCAAATCTACAAAAATGTATGTGATATTTGATGTAGAATGTTGAAAAAATGCAGTGATATAATAGTCATAAAATAATGTTATTATTTTATTACAAAAAATTTTTATAGCAAAAAAACTTTTTTGAAATATTTTTTGATTCACGAAAAGATGATCTAAATTTATTGATTGATAAAGTGATAAGTGATAATATATAAGTGATAATATCAAAATTATTTTTGAATACTTGCAATGTACAATGTAATTAGGAGGAATTAAATTTGCTTATAACCTGCTTAAAATTTCGGTAAAGAAACATAATCCATTTTTTATTGAAACCAGTTGTACGAGCTAATTCATCTAATGAGGGAGGTTGAGTATTGAATGGATTTGATAATAAATCTTCTACATCTACTTCCGATTCTATAAACTTTTTTTTCTCTTCGTAATAGCATTATTTTCAACGTTTAAAATAATTATTGGTTATTTCACAAAAAAGTTTTTTTTTTTTTCATTTTTTTGTTTTTTTTGTTTGTTAGAACTTGAAAACATATAAATTAATTTGAAATCGCATGAAACTATAGCAAACAATTTATGGTATATTTTTTATCAGTTCTTGTTGCGTTATAATTTAAAAATAAAAATTTCTCTGAATAAATTGAATTGAAAAATTGATTAGCATGATTAACAATAAAAGATTAATTAAGTAAAAATTAAAAAATCGTAATTTATGAATAAGATTAAAAGTTAAAATAATAAACTATCTTGCCATCATCATAAAAACAAAGCCAAAATTGTATTCTTCGACAAGTCCAATAAAATGATTCACAGAAGTGGTTGGATGATAGACAAGATGGTACACTTCCAAAAAGTCTAAAAACGTATAATTTATTTAACAAATAATTTGATATTTTTAAATTATGAATGAGCTGCATTAACGATAGCAAACCTTTTGAGTTTTATATAAGTTTCGGTACTTTCATTTCGAGGGCAACTGTTCGATCGTAATTTTAATAATGATAAGTGACGCATAATTCTAAAATTTACTTATGCTTGACGCTTAAATCATAGTATTTATTTACGTATATATATTTTACAAAATTAACATACATTTTTAGATTTAATTTATATGATATTCAATTGATTATTAAAATTTGAAAATTATATGGATATGTTAAAGCAAATTTGAATCATTTTTTAAGAGCTATTTCTTTTAGTAGCAAATATATTATTCAAAATTTTAATCAACAAATCAGTCAAATAATTAATCAATAAGTAGAATACAAATTTGAGCTACATCTTAAAAAGTTTTAAATTGAAGTCAAACATTATCAAGTAAACTTTTGCATTTTCATTTGTTTAAATATTTAACTAATAGTAATAGAATCAATCAGTTTATTTAATGTTTTTACAAAAATTTTAATCCATTCGTTCGAAATATGAATTGTTAGTAATATCTGATAATTATTGTTCATCATAATGTGAGTTCTAACTTTTTTTATCTTTAATTATCAGCGCTTTTTTTGTTAATCGAAAAAAATATAATACAAAATTTGCATTAAAAATTACTTGCCATTAATTTAAGTCCATTATTACTGTAAAAATTTTACTGCTTAAAAATGAAAAATGATAAGAAAATTAAAGTTATGATTTTAATTTTGCCATATCTATTTACTTCTAATATATGTAAATTGTTAGTTGCATTATGCAAATAAGCATAATAACATAATTTTCACTTGATATTTGTTACATTAAGTACGTAAGAAATAAACAATAGAGCAGTAATGCAAATTAAAACTACATGAATAACTTTACAACTAATATTATTGAGATGATAATTTATATTTTAGATAAAGATTATAAATCTTCATTTCAGCATTAAACTTTTCCTTGCTAAAGCAGAACCAAATGATTTTAGTAATGTATAATTGATAACAGATAATGATTTGTTAATTATCATTACTTAACAACTAAATTGGCTATAATTATATTAAGCATAAACATCAAGATTACATAAATTAATCGTAATACTATAACGAGAATGCAAAATGCGCATCACAATTATTACATTCCTAACATAATAATAACAACGATGAATACTATATGAAGTTGTTATATGTTACATTTATTAAAAAAAATACACTGGAATTATAATGATAAAAAAATTATTTACTTAACATAAATCATTTCTTTAAAGTAAGATAAAATTTGAATAAACTTAAAACAACGATTTTTTTTTTTGGTATTCACGTATTAGTAATCAAAAGTTTAACTTATAAATGAAAAATCAAAAATTAAAAATTATATATAAATTAGAAATTTTTTTTCGAAATTTATTAATAATTTTAAAAAATTTTAATCATATAAAAAGTTAACAATTATGCAGTTGTAATACAATGAAAAGTAGTACGAATTTTACAACATTAAATAAATGATAATTGAATAGCCTCTAATTTATTTAAAAAATGTCAAGAAAATACGAGTTATTATTGAAAACAAATGAAGTATCCATTTTCATTTTCATTTTCAAAGATTTTCTAAAAAAAAAAAAATGAAAAAACGAAAAAAAAAAGTAAAATAAATAAAAGGCAATAATATGAAAGAAAAAAATTTGCATTTATAAATATTTGTGAGAAAAATTTGTCTGAAAAAAAAAAGATTCAACTTAAAATATATGCTTTTCAGATTCGATATATAACAACAAATTGAAAGCTTATTTTAACTTTTTTTTCTTTTTTCTTTTTTTACCTTTTTCAGTTGAGAGCTAAATAACTCTGCAAGTATTATTATAATTTGCTTGAATAAATGCAAAATTCGTAATAAAATTGATTGTAGATTTTTTTTTTTTAAAAAAAATAATCTTTTTTTTAATAATTGATTCCATAATTGCTTTCTACCAAAAAAATAAAAAGAAAAAAATAAAAAGAAAAAATGATTATTATTTTTAAGAAAAAAAAAGTTTTACGCTTTTTTTTCTCTTTTTTTCTTTTTTTTTTTACTTTTTTTTGAAACTATTTTACACACAAACAGTTATTGATGCTTACTTTTGCTTGCTATATCTGCCATTATCCATTACAAATGCTTGAAATTTAATTTCAAGAAACACAATCACTGAATGCAATTTTAGCACAATTGACTAGATCAAATGATCAAATGATGCAAACTTTACAACGATGCATTCATTTAATAATTATTTCCATCAAAAATTCAAAAAATTCAACAAGAAAATTAATTTATTTCCAAAAAATAAAAAAAAGAAAGAAAAAAGTGAAATTTTTTGATGTTAAAAGTTATTGCAAATTAAAAAATACAGTATTACATGAATTCATATATTTACAAAAGTAAGAGTATAACTAAGATAATTCAATCTTAACAATTATTTCAGAATAAAATGAATATTTTTATAATAAATTGTTTAAATTAAAAAATCTGAAAAAAAATGTAGTATAAAAACTGCAATGTTTTTCAAACTTGAATCCAAAACTTTGTCATTTTTTGTTGTTGTATATTAACTACAATAGTTAAGTTTAATTAAGTAATTCTTACTTTGATAGTTATTGTAGGAATAAAAAGCATAAAAAAGTTAGAGCACAATTTTAAGTCAAATTATTAAATTGCTCTTCTTTGAAATAATAATGCTAAATATTTGCAATAAGTAAATGATAATTGGAAACATACGTTTAAATCTAATGACTGAACTTTTTCTTCATCTTAAAAATTTGTGTAAAGTTCATGTTATATGTATAAATGTAGATGGACTAGAAAGAAGTGAAAATTATAAAAAAATAAATGAATAAATGCGTCAAAAAATTCTTTAAATTTTTTTAAAGAAAATTTATAACTTTATTGCAGGCTATACTTTTGATCTCCAAATTGCAAAATATTGCAGTAATTAGCATCATTTCTTAAAAAAAAAGGAAAAAATTTCAAAAAATTCTAAAAATTGAACAATTTTTTTGGATTAAGTAAATATGTAACAAACTTTAGGATTGTAACTTCTTTTCAATATCCAAATTTTTTGAAAATTTTTTTTAATCCAAATATATGTTTGTTATTATACTGCTTTGAATACATGTATAAAGCTTCTCAATCGTAATAGTAATCCTTTGTTATTTTTGCTCTAAATAGAACATGATTTGAAAAATTCCAAAAAATTAGTCCCTCCTTATGTAAGTTTATTTTAAACAAGGAAGGAATTAAAAGATTAAAATATGTATTTTCGAAATTTCAGTTAGTCAGTTTACAATTACCATTTTTTAAATTTATTCTTATTTGAAATTTTAACACACAATACTTACATATTAGTATGCAATCAAGCAGCCTTTAAACTTTAAAACAATAAGAAATTGAGGCAAAACCATAAAATCCGCGATATTATAATTACTTAAAAAACTTTTCTTCCTTGAGTTTGCATTTAGAATTTTTGAAGCAACAAATGATCACAAAACTGTTTTTTTAGATGTAGCAGAACTAAGTACTTACTACCTATCAAAACTTCTATACCTTTCAAAATAAATACTGCTTTCCACCATTTTAAACACTTGTTTGAAATTAAAGAATATGTAATTATAATTTTTTGTTGTAAAAAGAGTTTTAAAAATTGATAGTTTTAAAGTGGGCAGAAATCTTGTTAGTTCAGAAGTTATGAGCGATTCAGTATCACTAAAGCTTATCTTCAAATTTATGATTTTCAAGTTTTCATAATCATAATACTGGGAAAAATGCACTAAAATTAGTATTCACTTTAAATAGACTTTTTCAAGGTATACAGAAAAAATTAGCGAATGGTATCTTTTAATACAATACTAAATTGAGAGATAAAGTTGTTACTTTTGAAGCTATTGCGATAGCACTACTTATAAGTCTTTTAATTTGTTACTATTTACTAATTTTCCAGTGAGATTTATCACTGTCTTCGCTTTAGTTGTATGTCAATTGCAGTAATATGAAGTATATTTCCAATTAACAGAACCTAGTTTTTGTAGGCAGTCACATTGAAAAAATATATACTATTTAAAACTTACAGAACTCCAAGGTTATTCTGTCTTCAAATAGTATTGCTTTTATTTACACAGAAAAAACTCATAACACAGAAAATTTTTTGAATCGTATAAAACATCAATATGACACATGTGAAGTGGCTTGGTTCATATTTCCATAACTTTTTATGAACACTAATTTGTGAAAAAGACAAAATCATATTTTCCAGTACAAGATAATTGAAGAAGCTTTATTTTATTTTGCAAAACGACGTAGTAACATAAATAAAACAATTACAACAGACTAAATAAAATCAAAATGAAATAAATATATATTACAATTCATCGAAAAATACTAATAAGAAAATGGATATAAGTTATAGTGTCTTATTGATACATGAAAACTGATTAAAAAACAGCTTTTAACCCAATCAGCAAGTGAATAGTTAATCCTAGCAAAAAATGGCTTCAATTCTTAATATTTTAACGCGAGTTTCTCGATTTCACCGATATATACAAATATGCAGAAAATTTAAACTAATGCTGGGAAACCTTGAGTCATAAATGAAATATAAGTTTTGCAAGCTACAAGTTGAATGATCAAAAACATTTTATATCACCCCTTTCGTCGAACAATAAAATGCTGAGCAAATGGCATAATCATGAAAATAAAAAAAAAGTATATAATAACAAAATCTTCATAGAAGATATAAGCTATCCTTTCTTGAACACCTTATCATAATCCACGATTAAACGATAACAAAAGTAATTCAGATTATTCAACTGAGTTATTGGAACCTAAACAAAGATACATTAGACTGGATTACACTAAGAGTATAAAACTTCTCATCATGTCTTGAAACATAAAAAATACATTTAAAACCGATTTTTTTGCTCTTTACATTATATATGATTTAATGATTTCTAGGAAAAAAAAACTGCTAGGTCAAGAAATTTGGCAGTTGCTTATAGCTTATCAAAACAGTAAAATGGTAACCTCGCAATCTTTAGGCCATGTCAAGTTTGGGCCGAAAATAACACTAAGATTATTAGCTCCCATCATATTTTCATTACTGTGAGCAGCCACCTAAATTTAAAACTAGAATAGTTAAATGCAGCTCTGGAAGGTAAAACAACTTTGTTTTGGAGATAAAAACAACTTGTAAAACTAGTTGATGACAGAAACGATTTAAAATACAAGAAATAGCTTGTAGTTAACAAGTTTTAGTTGGAAAAAGATGAGTTTTAAAAGCACAAAGATAATAAAATTATAAGGTCACTTCATACCGGAGCCACTATACACCATCTGCAACTGACCAGTTTAACAACCGGATCAAAACAGCAAAAAATAAATGAACATACCTCGGCCAGAAATTCACATACAGTTTTCAATAATATATAATTTTCGGCTGGAAGCATATCCACTATCTCAATAATTGCTCCAAGTTTACTATCCTTTGGTAATTCTACAATAAGAGATACTTTCGCCAGAAATTTTTTTTTTGCAAGCATTTTTTAGAATGACAATATATTCAAATTTCCCATCAGAGCTTTGCATACATATATGCAAGCAATTTGCACAGCTTTGCCATGTTTGGGAAAAAACTGTACCAGAAAGAGCAGCAAGCCTCGGATATAATTTGTTAGTAGTGACTGGTTCATCAAGCGAACGTAAAAAGGTCTTGAGTAGAACTGAAGCTTCGATAGATGCATCTTGCAAATTGTCCTTATATCGCTCTTCATTTAGAAAATCAATCTGTTCCCCTGAAAATCTTTTTGACGACTAAAGAAAAAATATTATACATAATGAATTTGAAATAAGCGAAATCAATGAATGAAATTAGAATAAAATTATCAAGAGACTATAATCTTCTTGCAGGAAATATTTTGCATAATTAGAACTTAAACAATCAAACCTTTATCAATGCGTTCTTGCAGTCTTTTGATAGAATAGACTTCAGCAGATCTTCTGAACAACCCAACAACATTTAAAGAATGGTCTCGTAAGAATGCGATGAGGTCAGTAACCACAGGAGGTACATCGCAATCAGGATTGTGTGACAATATACTGAAAAATTAAAAACATTCAAGCAATTATAACAACATTTAAGTTTGCTTTGAAGTCATATTCATTAATCAGAATTTCTAAAATGTCAAATATATATCACAAAAAGAGTTCTTATTCATAAAGTTTGCTCCTATAATTTCACTGTTCTTTAAAATTTAATAAACTTACAATTCCAAAGGAACATTAAACTGTTGAGTTGGTCGAGGAGTAGGATAAGTTTTCTTGACCGGCTGTGATTTATCAGGAGTGATGTGTGAAGCAAAAAGAAGAGAAGCATCATAACTGAAAAATAATGACATCTCTTACACATACAAATCCTCTGATTTTTTCTTAATAACGATTCTCTTAATTACCGTAAATTTTTCAGTTGTACTGAAAATTCCAATCTCTTCATTTTTGCATCCTGGGAATAACTCAATAAACTCGCTGGATTGAATCCATTTTACTTCTATCTAGCTTGGAAAAACCCTTCTAAAACTGTATAAGTCGTCCTAAAATTATGAACTTTTCAGAAAAAATACTCTTTGATTGGCTGAGGCAGATTGAGTTGCTTCACACATAAAACTGAATCTAATTCATGCAAATAATCAACGTAATGAATCTTGCGTTCAAATTTCATAGATATTAGTGGCTTGAAGATACCCCAAACAATTCGGATAAAACGAGTGGGATGAACCAAATAAAGCGCCTTTAGATTTTTTTTATATCTGAAAAAAGCAAACTTTAACACAGATTAAGTAGATTTACAAATGAATGACATGAAGAGAAGACAACTTGCTTTCGTCCTAAAACGGAATATGCTTGAAGCAGCCATTTCATAGGTGGTTTGTTATTGCTTCGCAAACCATAATGGAAATATACAACTGTGTAATCCAACTCAACTACTTTATCCAAAGTGGATTGTAAAAACCTACAAAAATGATTTTCAAATCAGTCGATTTTGTAATATAATACTGAAAGTTTACAGACATAATACGCGATGGAGTCCGTGAAAATTTGATTTTGAAATACTGCCATACTTCAAAAAATTTAGCAATAAAGTGGTGTAAATAATGAAGTTATGTTTTGAAAAGTTGAAATTTATTGATTTAAAATAGTAATTAGCATAAGAAATATATCATTACCTTAGAAATCTTGCATAATCGAACGTTTTATTTGATGGGAGCCGATAAGCATAGATTACGACAATTGGTCTGGAATTAGATCAAATAAAACTACGCTAAGATACAAATAATAGAAAAATTAATAAAAACGGGAAATAAAAATATTTTAAAAGATATACCTCCCTACCCAATCACCGTCTGCTATTACATTGACAATTTCGTGCTGACTTATATCTGTAAAATTTTCAGCAAATGGATCATCAGCTAAACAACCAAGCTCTTCTTCAAAATCATCCCGTTCTAGAAATGAAGACACCGACTTCATTATATCGAATTCTCCTAAAAATGAGAACTGTGATCAAGCGTAAAAATTGAATTCGGCTATCAACTGTTTGATTAGGTTTTCAAGTAATAAAAGCACAACTTACAAAATACCTGATTCGCAAATTAATGGCTAAATTTAATCGCATTACAATTAATATTTTCAATTGAAACTTAATCTATAATTAGGTGATGCCATGATTTGAGAATGTCAGTTACCAACAAACAACATCATCATATTTCGAAGTTTCAACTGTATTTGAAAGAATTTCATTACTACTGAATTGACCTAGGCATTTAGTCGTTAATAAGTAGCCAATTCGTTACGAATTCGCAAACAACCGCATCCAATTTCTTTAGATATGAAATAACCTTTAATCTCTACCTTATCAAAAACATAACAATATTTGGATGAACTTTTTTATATAATTTCCATGAAACTTACTGCATATAGTCTCTTCATCCAAATTGAATAGATCATCTTCGGCAAATTCCACATCCGATTCCATAAAACCAATATTTCCAGGTACACTTGTTCCCATCATTGTACAGTAACTTCAGAACTTCTCAACTTTCTATAATTTCATTACGGTTAAAAAAACTAAAGACGATTACAGATTACAAATTAAGCAATATTGAACGACTAAAAAAAATTTTAATCCAACTATGTAACATGTAGAGTTAGTATTCACCAGTTCATCAACTTTGCATGCCTTTTTAATCGCAGAACTAGAAAATCTAAGAAACTTGATCAGCAATACTTTAGAAAACTATTCCACGCATCCAATCGAGAAAAATGACCTGCTTAATTTACGCGTAACTACTCAATGGTAAAATGATACTGATCAAGATAGATAATTTCATTAATAGGCCGCGTTATTCGAATTCCGTGCTGGAAACATTTGTTAAGTAGATTTCTTAAGGTAAAATGATAAGTGAGATGAGGTGAGATGAGGTGAGATGAGGTGAGAAGAGGTGAGAGGAGGTGGAGGGGATGAAAGTATTTTAGAAGGTTGAAAGGTCATACGGATCGTTTGTTTACTGTGATATAGGAAGTAGATTATTGTGTATGGATGAAAGGTGAATATGGTTCGCTGCTGTCATTGCAATTTTATTCAGCTGTTTTAGGCATGACATATGTTGTATTCCTATAGAGATTGATGTTGTAATTAAAAATTTGTAGGAATCATAATAAGTGCGCAAGGCTAGATTGCAGTTCCTTTGTGTTTTTAAAATGCATCAACAACAACAATTGTACCGCTAGTCAAAGTTAAAATTTAAATTTTTATTTATTTATTGTATATTTTAGGCATTCTAATGAAGGAAAAGATTAAATTTGGTCAATGACAAGGATCATTAACACTACTCAGAAATATCAAAATATGAACATATTGTAATTTGTGAATGTTTCAAATTATTAGTCAAGTATTTTCTGACATAGCTAGTAAGCTAGTCAGCAAATAATACACATGGCACGAGAACCGTTTTCCTTAGCTAGTGTTTTGCATGAACAGGTAGCAGAAATAATTCCTGGAAAACTATATTTTTGCATACTTCAAAATCGACCGATTTCGGATTCAAGTATTGATTACTACTTTGTTGACGACGAGGTGCATTATGATAATTTTTACTCAGATTTCGGCCCTTTGAATCTGTCGGTACTCTACCGTTTTTGCCAAAACCTGACTGACAAATTGGAGGTTTACTTTCAATACTTTCTTAACAATGAAATTGGTATTAATCTTTCGGAAAGAATGTAGTAGTTGTTCATTGTGCTACTCATCTTGTAATTGTCGTTATAAATAAAGAGCCATACAATGCTAGATCTATTTTGCATTATGATGAGATTCTTTTTTGTATTTACTGTGATATGCTTTTCCGAATTTAGGATACTCATGAAACGAGATGCATAGTAGTATGTTGTGGATCTGCCAATGAATGTATAGTAAATGCAGCTTACTTGGTAGGATCTTATGGGGTAAGTTTTATTTTTCGCAGCTAGTCAGACATACATCATAAGTGCAAAATCTTATTTTAATGTCAGTAGATTTGGCAGTTTAACTTAGAAGCTTTGTGTGTCTTAGTTTGCTACATTATAAAAAATGACAGAACTAGATATTAAGTAGAATGAACTGTAGTATGCAGTAATTTGATTTGAACAAAGTGACGTTTAAAATTACTTTTCCACTGTTTTTCAGATTCTGTATTTGGGAATGACAGCTGAAATAGCATATTTAAAAGTGCACAAAGCGGAACCAAATGGTTTTATTGGATTCAGAGATGCAGCGATGGGCCCAGCTACTTACAGACTACATCTTCACAATGTCTTACGGAGCGTCGAAAAAGTATGTTACAGTGAATAAAACACTGCTTGCTCTATACTATTATTTCTCGTTCATATTCTGCTCTATTGATCTCTTTAGTATTAATTGCACGTTCTTGCATATAGTTTTGTTGCTATAATAAGGCGCAGTTTTTAAGTACATCATTCAGAAGAAACTCTTCTGTGATTATGTTTTCTTTTTATGCTGGTTTGGTAAAAAAAAGAATTGTCTATAACTTCGCATTATTCTTGCATATGTAATTTTTGAATTTGAATATACCTTTTGCTTTTTATCGAAGTACAACATTTTTTCAGTAAAGATTGCAAATCTAGATATCATTTTATATTTTAATTTTTTTTGAAAATATCTTAATTTCTTAACTAGTTAGTATGCTATTAAGTTTAAATTTGAGACTACTTTCATCATCTAATGAACGGTGGAGTAAATTTTTTTGTCTTTGCTTATATAATGAGTAGCGAATTAAGGATAACATCAACATAAAGTTTCCTTCATTATGCAAGAACGGGAGAATTAATATGCAAGAGCGCGAATAATTCAGAAAAATTATTGCATGAATATAGTAGTTCTTACTTTAGCTCTTATTTTTATAAACCATTCAATTACTACTAAATAGTTACTACGCAAATCATAGAACCATATTGACCGTACTGTTTATTTTACCATTAATCTATACAAATTTGGTTAAATGGGTGAAGACTGACAATGAGTATTTACATTTGTGCTTTCAAAAGTAATGAAGGAAAATTGATGTTAGTCCTCAACAGATTCTTGTAATTTGGGAAAGCTTATTATAGGCGGTGAAGTTCAACTGGATTACATTTGACGATTTTGATCCTGATGAATACGAATATTATGAAAAAGTCGAAAATGGTGATCTAAATTGGATCATACCTGCTAAAATCTTGAGCTTTTGTGGGCCTCACAATCAATCGGTTGTTGAAAATGGTTCATCATTTTTGTATTGTTTTAAATTTCAGTGGATTGCTGCAAAATTTCGCAAGTACTCTACAATTTCATAATTTGCAGTTGTATAAATTCTGATGAAAATTAAAAGTTGATCCTTTTCAATTACTTTCCGATTACCATGTAATGACTGATTCCCGAAATTGGAATGTTCCGATTTCAGGTTATCCATATCACGCACCTGAAGTCTATTTCGATTATTTTCGTTCTCATAATATTTCTACGATAATTCGACTTAACAAAAGAATGTATGAAGCTAAAAGGTTTGTGTTCATTTTACAAAGTCATTACTTAATTATATTTTTCATAGACTTGTTTCTTCAGGTTTTTGGACGCAGGTTTCGAACATATCGATCTTTTTTTTGTGGATGGATCTGTGCCATCTGATGAGATCGTGAAGCGTTTTATAAATGTAGTTGATAACGCGAAGGGAGGTGTTGCTGTTCATTGCAAGGTGTTTATAATTTTTATGAAATATTCTGAAAATAGTACTTATAATTGTAACAGTATTCGGGAAATGCATTGTTATATCTAGGCTGGACTAGGTCGAACTGGGACGCTTATTGCTTGTTGGCTGATGAAAGAGTATGGTGTTACAGCAGCTGAATCAATGGCGTGGTTACGGATTTGTAGACCTGGTTCTGTGATTGGACCACAGCAAGAATTCCTTATTGCAAAGCAACCGTGGTGCTGGGCATTGAGTTCTAAATCTACTACAAGTCATGTGTTGCATTTGACTGACAAGGTTTATTTATATAGCATTCAGCTTCTTGCCATGTTGAGGTACCGGAATGATTTGAGGACATTGTACCAGTTTATTTCCAGTGATTTGAAAAGTTTTCAGGTGAATGAAATTCGCATTGAAGATACGAGTAATAAAGTAATGGTAGTACCAAAACTGCGACCTTCTTCATTAAATGAAATCAATGAGGTCTTTGTATTTTAATAAAATCAATCCTTTTTTTTTGTATATTTTTAAGAAATAACTATTCCTTATCGAAATTTTTCGTATTGTGCAATATGTTTTTTAGAGGGAAGATGCTGAAAAAGAGAGTAATGAGGAGCGGATGACGCCTAGTCAGGGTGATCATCTTTTGGCACAAAAAGCTAAGGCTCAGTGGACCATGATATCACATGCAAAATTTACCTCACCAACCACACCTGTGAAGCCACTTTCGACCATGAGTACTGCAAGACGCCTCTTACACTGCATTGGTGACATCAGCACGCCTCCGCCGGTTACTTTTATTATTCTCAGTAATACATTTACTAGATAGTTATTCATGTTATGTATTGATTTATCATGTAATACTGTACATTTATTTTATCGCATTCGAAGAATCCCGTCAGTCATATTATTTATTTACTTATTTAATTGCCCCATGTACTCATTTTTATATTTACAAAGATGTAATTATATTCTGGCTGTTTCATTTCAGATTTCTCGAATAACCGTCTCAGCAACTACCTCTACAGCGAACGATAAGCCATTGACGAAATCTAAGTCTACAAGAAAGCTTGCTTTGTAATGTTTCTTATCATGATAGAACAGAAATATAACTTTATTTTTAATACTAAATAAGAGTCACCAATATCACTTTTATGGATGTTGAAATATATTTTGATGGTGTGAGAATATTTTAGGATGCGAAGTAAGCCTTATCAGTGTCCTGGAGTAAAAGTTCACTTGCCAGCGTCAGTTTATGAACTGAGACCTCGGAATAATGGCAAAACGTACGGTGTACTTCACTTTGATGATCCTGCTCAAGAACTTGCCCCAAATGCAGTTGCCCTTATTGGTATCACAGTGAGTTACTAGACCCATTTATTTTACTTCAATAACTTCTAGATTTACCACTTGCATTCCTCAACTTTTCTGTGGTTTAACTGATTCAAGATCAAAGTACCATTTATTTGCTAGTTTTAGGCACGTCGGAATCTGAATGGAATTATGAAATAAGGGCTGTGATTATTCTTGTCAAGAAATATTAATGCAATAATAATAACGAGTACTTAATTTGTTTATATTTAATTTGTTAGAGAATGCCCTGTACTAGATTCAGAAGATATATAGGTAGGTTGGTTAGTCTTAAAAAATTTTTGAGTTTAAAAGTCAACATTCCTGAAACCTTTTGAATCCGTTCCTATGTGTAGCCCTGTTACTCGACAAATTTACATGAGTCATAGTACTCTAGCTACGCTACTTCATTTTAATTTGCTTGGCAGTGATACATAATCCAAAGTAATTACACCATCCGTCGTACACATTACTGGATGAAAGTGTGTTGGCAAATACTAAATGTGTATTGTACAGGTGCACTCCATTTTTATTCTGTGGCATGTGTTATCTGCTCCAAAAAAAGTGAGTTCATAATAAACTGTACAAACCCGTGTTTACTAATTTACACATCACATGAATCTAAAGGTTGCTGTTCGGAATAACCTACAGCTCATGTATATTCTGCGCTGTGAGACAAATGGTGATGATATGGTAGGTGGCCTAGAGACTTCCTAATTCATGATTTGCAAATCAAAATTAGTGCACATGGATATCATGTGATTATTGGAAATTAAAATGATATCATTTCTCGCATATGTATGCTCACAATTTCACGCATCTAAACTTGGAGATTTGCAAGTTCTTATAACATAAAATGAAGGCCATAAGCCATATTACGACATATCGCATTACAAGATATTTGGAACTCTAATGTCATTCCACATAGAGCTGTCACATTAGCATCAGATAACTTGCACAATTTACCATGTTTCGAATATGGAACTTCTGTGTTCCTCATAAAAGCTAGCAGATCTGGATTTTATTCACTGGTTCGCCCTTACATTCAAACCTTCGGTTTGCTTGTAAGTTGCTTTAGCTATCTGATACAACCCAACTAAAATCCCAAATACTTGCTCTTCTAGCCTTGATTGCTTCCTGACTTCATACTTAAATTAAGAGATATTCGAAACACGATGATTTCTAAGCATAACTAGGAATTCATTTGTATCAACATATCTTAATATTAGAGCATTAACAAGCTACATGAAACACCTTATAAGTTTTTAAAAATTTCGCAACCATGACGAAATTAAACTGGAAGAATGATAAGAGCAATTCAAGCACAAGAAAAAAACCTAGATATATAGGTAGTTGAAAGTATCTGATCTCAAAGGGCGACGCTATATAATAATGCGAAGTAATCAACGTTATAAAAATTAATTGAAGTGACTGCATTGTGTCAATGACCAAATCATTCTGGAAGCTAAGAAAACTCCAACAAAATAAACTGAAAAAGCAATCGAAACTAAAGAAAATCACGAAAACTAAACCCGATCACACAACTCAGAAGGTAAGAATAATTATTTAATCAACTTTTTAGCAAGAAACAGAGCATGATTGTCCGCTAGCGACACTCCGATAATGCGATAACCATCAAGATGTACCGAAGTGATCTTCTGTGGTTCAGGAATCATCTTGTCATCATCATCCTTAATACCCAATCCTAGCTGTCCAGAAGAGTCGTAACCCCATGAATAAGCATCACCTAAAACAAACAGTTACAAGAAAGACTTGACGACCGAAAATTTTGTCACATAGAATTAATGCTTTCTTCCCATGTAATTTAAGTGATAGCTAATACTGCTAAAAAATACCATTATCAGTCCAAATAATCGAACAACCGAGACTGGCTGATACTCCTCTGACGATTCCTGGTATATTGATATTCTGCAGCTCAGAGTACTTCCAATGATCACCATCTTCCTTACCACTCCATGTCCCCAATCCAAGCGCATTGTCCGTATTTTTACCAATGCCATATACTTTACCTGATTTTGGCATTCAGATATGTGAGTAGATTAAAAAAATGTATAGACTACTGCAAGAATTTATAGCATGACAAGCAACGACTGGTATGAAATTCAGAGAGTAATAAATAATGAATAAAACATAAACACACATAAACCTTTGAAATGTGAAATAGTTCAATGTTATTACCTTCTGCAGTAAGTGCCAATACATGCTGAATACCACTTATGTCCACTACGACCCTCTTCTCAAATGCAGTTGCTTTAACTGGATGCATTATTTTCAGCTCTGGCTCGTTACCTTCAAATATAACAGGACACAGAATAATGTTATGAAATTAGAACACCAAGAACTTTAGGAATGGATCTTAAAACCAAAAAATTAGCATTTGCTGGGTTGAGGCAAATCATCCTGACTGTTTTAACCTCAACCACTATGTTCACTCTCATGATTTATAGCTAAAATATGTTTTAAAACTTGCAAAATAAACCAATATTTCATTTGTCACGAATATAGAAAAAAGAAATAAAAATGCAGAGTTCATTCCTTCAGCAAAGTTATACAGGTCGAAAACTGAAAATCACCTTTCTCTTCATGGAATTCTGGAATCGGTACTCCTAGCTGCCCGAAATTGTTCAAGCCACATACATACAGAGTTCCATCGATTGAATGGGCAGCAGTCCAATACCCACCAGCCATGATGTTGTTGAACACAACCAATTTCTTCTTTTTCTTGTCGTAAACAGAGATTTTCAAAGAATCGGGCGAAGTACTCACCATTCTCCGTGAACGAATATTTGATACTCGTGAACATCTGCCCAACTGACCTACCGAACCATCACCAAATGTTAGTACTTCACCATTTTCAGTTAGCATGACCAAATGATTTTCACCTGCCGCAATCTGAAAATCTCTTGCAATTCATTTCAGAGGGATCACAAACTCCCTCAAGACAAGAAAGTTACTCTATAAATGACAACGAACCTTTACGATTACTTTTTGCTGGTGCTGAACGATTATCACTGGGTGCTTTTCCATCTCCAACAAAGTTTCATGACTTTCAATACAACCTGACATACCCTTAAAATTGATTATGAATTACTTCTCGAAAGTATAATCATCATTAATATCTTATGTCTATACATGTAATAGAAATTTCGTTGACCCAACTGCTGAACTTCATGACAAAATTTTAATTTTAGAATAAAATCATATTAAACTTACTCGTATGTTTCCCCAAGCTACAACACTACCTTTTTCGGTAAGAGCTGCAGAAAAACTGGCTCCAGCAGTGAGCATGACCACCTGAAAAATGAAAAACTAAAAATCTGGCAAACCTACAGTTAATATTGATTCCATCATTGCTGCTTTAACAAAATTATGAAAAACCACACCAACAAATTGCTTTTCAATTTTATATCTGAGAACAAACTTTTCCATGTTGTTGTATGAGTGAGTCATTGAATTTGATTGGAGTTAACACATCAATAGTCTCCTCTTGACCGACACCTTCTCCCGGTACAGTGCCTTTTTCATTTATTCCACAACCATACACTGTACCATCTTCCATCAATACAAGAGAATGAACCCCACCAGCAACTACCTTAAAAACTATTTACCTATATATCAGTAGCTTTTTGATTATTAAAGAATTTGAAATTTGTAATATAATTTTACTTGTAATACGAAGGAAAGGATAAAGTGATTTTTTTACAAATGCAAAATAACCACAAAAAGTTAGAGGCGTCATTATTATTTTGTAGTTTTATAAATAATGATATCTTATGAACGCTAATAAAAATTCAAAATTATGCACCTGTGTAATCAACTTTCCTTCAGGCAGTGTACAGATAGCTCTTGGTTTCCGAGTAACAATGCGTCCTGGATGCCCGAGCTGTTCACCTTCACCACAGCTTAAGACTCTATCACCTTTTTCAGTCATTAAGAAATCATGCAGGGACAAACGGAATTTTTTCAAACGTCGACGAGTAGAACTACCAGCTTTAATATCTAGAAACATCATACTACCATTATGGTCAATACCTTTAATCAATTCCGGACACAAATTATGGTAATGTGCATATCTTTTCACTGGTAAGGTTATAGTTAAAATTAAGTTGAAAACTTGAGCATTTACTAAGATATGAAAATTTTAGTTAACCAATTTTCAATCAATTTTTTACGAAACTGCATCCGAGATACTGAACACATTCAATGAAAAAATGCTGTTCACAAGTTCAATAAACTTACTATCTCAGTGAATGAATTTAAAGGTAATTATCAGCATGAAAAAATAACTTACTCTGTGTTTCGTCGATAAGTGAATCGTTGCTGGCGTTACTTGAATCTAGTTTTCTTTTTCTTGCACATACATTATAACCCATTTTTAAGCTATTAAGATTACCCTAAATAGAAGATGCTTCTACAACTGTTTCGAAATAAAATGTTTGTTCAACCTTTTTTGATATTAGAGAATGGATTTTGCAACCACATCCAAAACCATCAATATCAAATTCTCTTGAAATTAAAATATGAACCTTAAAATTAAATCCTTAAAGTAACATCTACAGATTTCACTACATAACTTGTTCTCCTTTATATTATAATGAACTTTCATACCGCCACAAATTTCAAACATGCTCCTTTATCCATGAAACAAATCATTGATACAAAATTTTGACTACATACCATTTGTTGGCATTACAATTTGGAGGAACAATTAACTGAGAAAAATACTCAAGTTCATCATCTCAGGGCCTTATTACTGTCTACAAAATCTTCAATACAAATTGCACACCTACATTAATTAGCGAGGATTCCGATGAATGAGCAGTTTGTAACTCTTCCTCGACACAATCCTTACGATCTTCAAGATTTGTTAGTGCTTCACTCTTTTTGACTCCCACATTCCGTTTGACATGTGTTGGACAACTTATCTCTTCCTCACCAGCTATCAGAGTATCTGATCGTTCATTTCCATTCTTTTGCTTTCGCTTTCTTGTCATTTTCTTTACACATTCATAAGGTTTCATATCGAGCGGCTCCTGCGTAACTTTACGCGCAATTCTTCGAGGTGGCATTTCTTGTTAAAACTTGTACTTTTCTATAATTATTTCGATTGGTATAGAATAAATTGTACCCATGATTAAGTGAATGACGAGATTTTTCTTATTCAGGATTTACCAAGAATTTCTCAAAAACTACTTATAAAATAATGACTCACCTTCCACCCAGCTCAGAAAAACCGATTATTGTTCTTGTCGACGGTAGTTACAATTGCCAATATATCATATGTACAGTAAGTACTTCGCAACCTGTAGTAAGTAACAGGAATTACTTTATCTTGAATCCAAAAACTCGTACAATCACCTCCATAACCACATACATGACTGATCTTGACATGAATTTATATCTATTTTAAGTAAGAAAACAAGTCAATATTCCATACAAATTAGGAACAAATATTCACAGTGCGGTACAAATTTAATTCAATCTACTCTGAAACGCATGCAACCTTTAACTCCGACGTCTCATCTGTTTCTTTACTCTAAAACCAACTTTTTAAGGTAACGTTCGAAACTGTAGTCCAATTATGAAAATAATAATCCCAATAAGAAAAATTTTTAATTGATAGTTTTTTTTAATGATTTGATGATTAGTGCTGAACTCAGATGTTGTACTGGTGTCATTAATTTGTTTTCTGGTGTTGATGAAAATATGTTTCTTTTTTTAAATCAAATTATTATAAAAAGTGCAGGACTTAAATATTTGAGATTTATATAAATTTGAGCTTTCAAAATTATTTTAATATTTCAGTACCATACCACAGTAATAATGATAATGACACTTGCTATTATTAATGATAGTAGCAATATTACAGCAGTGCTGTTCATGATAATATATTGTTACAGTAATAAGTATTACTGTGACTTTTAAAGTTTCTAGTAATATCACTTTGATCATTACTTTCTTATCGTAATCACCATTATTATTACTATCGCTCAGTATTGAATCCAAATAAATTTAACGTTATTACCAGTACTCTATGATATCATTACTATTCACTGTTCTACTCTAATGTCAACAATATCTAATTACAACTGTTCGATAAGCAGATTTTCTCAAATATTTTTCTTAATAGAAACTTGTATAGAATTTTAATGACAGCATTTTGGAATAAGAATTCTTCGAGGGGTATGCTTTTTTTCTAAACTCAAAATGCCTGTGCCTGCAGTTTATTCATCTTGCCGAAGTCATGTAAAATGAAATTATAACAAAATGAGAGGTCGGTGGAACGGAAAAATAACTAAGTTATAGCACAACAATACTGATTATACTAAGATGCAGCAGTATTAATATTTAAATTTTATGACGTCAAATTCAATTAGGATCATTTATATACATTTAGGCTATGCCAAGGATTAGTCAGTGTGTTCATTTGAAGTAGTTATAAATGCTTGTTTAAATTACGTGAGCTGAGAATGGTTATTGACTCATGTCTACAAAATCGTTAACTTTATGTATACGTTAGTAAATGCAAGTTATTTTTGAATATTTTTATTTTTGAAAAACAAGAACTAAAATTGCTTAAAGCATTGAGATGCCAAATTTCACAAAGCCCAATATCTAGAAAGCTATAGTAAATAATGCGAACCAAATGTTTTGTGTGTGTATTAAGCGTTGGATCGATTTCTACAGTAAGTGAGACTCTGAATCGTTTATTTTTGAATTGGCTTAACTTAATGCCATTTTTCGTCTATACTCTTTGCTTGTATACTCATACAATGTATTGTGATGGCTAAGTTTATCGCAAGTATTATGTGTTTTTATTATCGTCGAAATTAAGTTTTGTAAATTGCATATTTCTTTTAATATATTTTAATAGATTAGCAAGTTTAATAGAATAATAGTGTGTCTGCATAGGAACACGGTCAGTAATCATGTGAAGTGGAAGGCGTTAAGTGGCGGGTAATTTTAATGGTTAGTTTTCTTGTTATATTATGAGTTATATTCGCTGCTTAATACTTTACGAATTTATAGAGAAAAAAGTTTTCTTAATTTTGCATTGTTTCTTTTACTATATCATGTACTTTAATATGTTCGAACTTCAGTGTTGCAGTAATCAGATATTGGTCAATTTTTGTAAAGAGATTTACAATTAGTAGTATGATTTTGAAATTTACTGCTTTTGAAGTAATTAAAATTTTTATTTCAATATTGTATTCGCAAATGATAGCAGGTGGTTCGATTTTTTTTTTCAAAATTTGTATATGCATGTTAATTTGAAGAAAATCAGCCATTATATTATCGAAGTCAAAAATTTTTTTGCGTTTGCATTGTCACTAACTTTCTTACTGAACGGTTGGTTTTGCATTTGTTTTTGTTTTTCACCGAGGAACCAATTCATTTAATTAACGATGTAATTAATTATTTTTGTTTGTAGGCTTAACAAGAAATGGAGGGTTTTGATTTACTCAGTGATGAGCAGCATGAAATTTTACGTCAATTTCAGGTGAATTTGACTATATTCTTGATTACTTCAATAGATTTTTAGAATGTGTTGCGGTGTTCTTTTATTTGAAAAGCATTTAATTTGTTTCAACTAGAAAATACTCTTCAGGAAGTAACAAATACTCGAGATGATAATATGGCAGTAGCAACATTGCAATCTGTACGGTGGGACTTAATGAGGGCTATTGAAGCACATATCTGTATTGATGATGATGATAATGATAATCATGATGATGATAATGACAATCATGATGATGATAATGATAATGATAATGATGATAATCACGTTCATAACAATATTGTCGTAATGGATGTTGGTGGTGGGGCACCTATTTCGACGTCAGATAAGCAGTACTGTTTCAGTACTTGACAATATTTTGATTGTTTTATGTGGCATGTACAAATTCTACTTTGTACGATTATTCTCAGTGCTTAATATGATGTTATTTATTTATTTAATATCAACGAAAAGTGCATAATGAACAAAAGTAAAAACTGAAAATTTACAGAATACATGATATTTTGCTAAATGATCGAGGAGCAGCAGATAATAGAATTCTCAAACGCTTACTAGCAGGCAGTTCAGCGGAACAAACATGCATTGAAAGTTCTCGTGGCTATGGTCTGACTTTATCTATTCGTATTGAATTTTTATTGTTATCCATCTCACCATTTAAATATGTTGTCTAATATTTTCGACGTGTCTCACTGAAGCAAATGAAAGCTACATAAATTTTAAAAGTAGACATTTTTCGAGATCAGAGAACTTTTGGATTTCTAGTCTGTGCTAAATATATCAAATTATTCTGTTAAACTGCCTTTGCTTCATGATATTTTTTGTCACCGGATGGAAAATTCAGGGTGCGATTATATGACCAACATATTCATAGGAACTAAATTATCAGTCACCATTTCAGGCACAGATGTCACGGAGTCATCATCATCATCAACAGCTCGTACACATAGAAGTTCCAGAATACTATCTAATAAACTCTCAGATTATGATTTGCGGTCTTCCAATCGACTTGTTCAAGATTCGCATACTGATACGCCACTTTCAACTACTGGTCTGAGACTTGCAGCCGATGCTGTAAGTAGTGATTCTACTGATAGTGACGAGGATGTTTTTCATGATGCTGCTGCTTTTGAGCAGCTGACAGAAAAGGTCGCATATTTTTTGTTTTAAGTTCCTTTTGTAAATCATCAGCATTCTGAAAATTATGGTTTAGGTATCCACTATAAACTAGTTTCATAATGATTGATGCACGGCAACTTGTAGTTTGTTTAATTACCAACGAATGTTTAGAGAGCAGTTTTCAGGATTCATTTCGCGATGATCAAGTGCCATTAGTGCCTTCTGATTTTACTAATATTGATGAAGCACTGCATAACTTTGTAGCCGTTTTTGAGGCCAGGTGAGCTTCACTCTTTTTTTGCGTGCTCACTTCAGTCATGTTTTTACCTCTCCAGTATTAAAGTAATCATGTTGAGTATTGTAAGTGCTGTTTACTTATATATATGACTATCATGAAACATTTGTTAGGTATGGAGGGAACCATCCACCTTTCTACTCTGGTTCTTTGCAAGATGCATTACGGGAAGCACTTGAGGCACCTGGACGACCCGTTGCAGAGCGTCGGCCTCTTGCCGTCTATCTTCATAATGACAATGCCATTGCATGCAACATTTTCGCAAAAAATGTTATTTTTCGTGCCTTGTTGATGAGTGAAAAAAATCTTACATACTAGTATTCTTTTATCTAATTTAAATTAAATTTTTTAATTGAAGTTACTGCATTCTGTGCGAAATTTTTGTGAAAGTTGTTGAACAAGTAAAAATATATCACTACTTTTTATAGATACTTTGTTCTGGATTAGTTTCATCTCTTCTAAAAGGGCAGTTTGTAACATGGCCATGGGATGTTACACAAGTGGAAAATAAACTTAAGTTGTTAGAATGGATCGATATGCTGAATGTTCGAGAAGTGAAACATACGCTGGAAAAGTATCTTCTCTAATTTTTTTCTGCAATATGTATCTTCTCCTTGATACATAATTTAGAAAAATACAAGTTAATTTATACTAAAATAATTGCCATTGCGCTTTTCCGTTGTTGTTAAGTAAGGATTTTTCGAATTAAAAAGTGCTGGAGTAAAGTGAGTCATTCTTTTTCAGTTATTCGAAATTTTAAACATTTAACTAAAACACTTTAGAGTTCCAAAACCATTGATATTTTGAAGTGCTGTTTGAATCTTGTTTTTATGAGCTGAATTCACTCGTTTGTTTAGGTTTCCCGATGAGCGGTTTCCATTGCTAGTGGTAATTATCAAGGAAAAAAGTGCCATTTCACCAGTGAGTGTGGCTTGGGGTGAATTACTGTTCATATTCATTCATATATTTGTATTTAATGCTCTAAAAAGTTCTAGATTACATGTTTGTAAAATACAGTGCAATTTTTAAGGATCCGATGGAGCACAGCAGGTGGTAAATAAATTGATGGAAGGATTAGATGAATATCAGCGTATCAAGAATGCAGATGCTGCTGAAGAAAGAGAACGTATTGAGAGGTAGGATAGTTGAAAATTTTCTCCTGCTCTTCTTACGAAATCACTTTTTAGTGGGATTTTGCAGCTTTTAGTTTTCTGTTTAAGGGAACAAATACGTCAGGAGCAGGCAAGAGAATACGAAAGATCTTTAGCACAAGATAGAGCTCGCCAGGAAAAATTGGAACGTGAAAGAAATGAACAAAAGTGAATTTATTTTATTTTTATTCATCTATATAATAATGCATTCTTTTTAAAAATACTCGTAAAATTTCTGTCGCAATTTATCATTTTGTAAATGTGGATTCAGGGCAGAAAAAGAGCGTCTTGCACAGGAAGAGCGAGATAGAACGAAACGTCTCCAAGAACTAGCAGCAAGTCTACCGGAAGAGCCGTCATCTACTGAAAAGGATGTTGCAGTAGTGCGAGTCCGTTTTCCGGATGGGAAGATGCTATTGCGAAGGTAGAGTATTTATAATGTTTTACTAATATAATCAGGTTCTTGATATCGTCATTCTTAGTGATGTTAAAGTGCCATAATTTGTGATGAACAGCTAGTTAGTTGTATCTACTGTAAAGATGTTCCACTTCTTTATAATATTTTATATTTTTAGATTCCGTATGAATGAGCCACTTCGTAATATTACTCTTTTTGTGGAGTCGAAAGGCTATAGTCTATCGACTCATCGGATTTGGACTTCGGATGTGCCGAAGAAAAATGTAGTGTTTTGCTTCATTTCAATAATTGTATGCAGCTGCAGCTTAGAAAGAGAACAAATTTCTATAACTTTCAACTTTTTCAGTATTAAGTGTCAGTTTTTTAATATTATTTCAAGTAACTGATGTTTGCTTCCCGTATTTTTGTTATTAGTAGCTTTACGTTAAGAAAATATATTTCAATCTTACTGAAGATGTAATTGGTTTACAGATGGAGTCATACGATCTCAGTCTTTCTTTAGCAGACGTTAAATGGCCGGTTCGCGAACAGATAACCGTGGATGAAAAGTAAATATTGGAAGTAGTGACATTCAAGTATGATGGCATCATATCTTTATCTTCTAATATTTAATGTCATTCGTGCTGAAACTGCTTAATTGCCTATGTCATTGTTTTTGAAAATCTAAAGAATTAGTGGGAGCACAAAATGATGTCTAGCAGTCTGTCAATAGTCTTGGCACTTAAAAATTTCCCGTATTTTTCAAATATTCTTCATACCCCTCAGAATCCTTGTGACATTCACATTTTTAATAATCATTGTTCTAACAACTCCTTTATTGTAGATGAAAACAATTTTTTTTTTCATAAATATGTAGGATTCACATTTTTTGCGTCCCTTATTATGTAATTCATTTCTTTTGTTTCGTCTAATTTCGAAAGATATCGAAATAGAGAACTAGCACTTAGGATAGCAAAAAATTAGTCATTGTTTGTCTTACACTTTTTTGATTGGAATCTCTTTTTTTCAATTTCATCATTCTTAATTTTTCAAAATTTTTATCCTGGCGTAAATACGTTGACAGATTGCAAATATTGGAGACTTTTTGTATACTGTTTGGAAAAGACGTGTACAATTTGTACTGTTGTACGTAAAACCATGGTTTATTAAGTAATATGTGTCTGTAAAGCAGTCTCCTTTATCCTCTTGACTCTCTTGGTATTTGATCAGGTTTTGGAACACATAGTGATTGATTTACTAAGTGTAACTAACTGAGTGTCAATAAAAGTTCAACATTATAATGCATTGAACATTTATGTTTCACGGTCTTATATTACAGATTCTGAAAGACTTTTCAAAACATTTGCTTACAGTCATCTTGGATGGTCTCGATTTGGAGTTCTGTGAATATATATATAGTGATTTAATTTTAAAAGCAAGTTCTTTGTGGGTTAGTTTTGTCTTGTATTGTTGCGGTTGGTCGGAGTATTTACTGGTTTGTATTAATTTGCTAAAATACAAGCACGCAAATGGATATACTGTTTATTGGACGATGTCTTGGTTTGTTAATGATGGTAGTCGGTTCTGTTTTCTTCTGTTACGTACCTTACGGTCGTCTTGCTGTTGTCAGAGAAGAACTTGAAAATGTTACTGGTACTTCAATTCATTATGTCGACTTGTTAAAGTTTACATTGAATTTAAAAACATGTAAAGAAGCATTACGGAGCTTGTGGACTGGATGTAGCGATGAAGTGCAGCAGACGCATCGGCATGATCTACTTTATGAGAACTGCCAACAACTATATGGGATTGTAAATCATAATTGTGCAGAGAAGTTAGATATTGAACAGATTGACGAGAATTCCTATGTCAATTATGGATGTATTTCTGAATCTGGTCAACAGTTAAGTATACTGTCAATTAATGCAGGTCTTATCAATGTCACAAGTATCAATTCACGAAATTTGCCAGGAATAATTTTTAAACGGTGCAAGATTCCACCAGTTGTCTAAATGACTGATTCAATGATACATAGATAATTACTGAAATGAGTCTTAAAGTATTATAAAACTTGCAAAAATTTTATTGAAAATTGTTAATCATTAACTATATATTTTAATACGAATTACTGTGTGCTAGCTAATTGGTAGATATTTCTAACTTATTATATAACTTGGTAGTTTAATTGAAGACTTGCCTACCTTTTTTTATCCGTACCTTACGTAATATGAATAATTTATTGTCGAACTACTCGTTCAAATTGTAATATTAATATATTAATAGGATTCTTCCGTAATTAAAGGAAAAAATGAGATTTCAGAATAATGGTATCATTAGTATTATACTTTACTAACTATGCATTAATAATGTATACCTGTAATTTTAAGCGTATATAAAATTTTGAGCTGTCACGGGACTATTCAAACAATACTAGTACTCGGTTGGTATAAAAAAATTTGTTGTTAATCACATTAAAACTTGAATATAAAAGCGAATGAAAGCTATTATAGTACGTGTTTTAAGTCACTATTTTATCTGAAAAAATTTATCTGTGAAAAAATTACGCAGTAAATAATTTAAAAAGTTTCTTTAAAAGAGATAAGTGGAGGTGATTTTTTTTTATCGTAACTAATCCGCTCCTAACATGATATGCCTGATAAAATTTTAGACTATCTAGTACTTATTAGTTCAACATTAAAATGAATAATTAGAAAAGTAAGTAAATATATAAAAAATTGTGAATAATAATTAAGTGAGCAAGCAGCTAAGATTGCATATTATTGTTTATAAAATTTTTTTACTGAGAAATGGTAAGATAAAAAGCTCAAAAATTTTCATAACCTTTCAAACTTAACTAATGAATCGAAAAAATAAGTGCAGATTTTGATATTTTTCAATTCATTCTGAATAAAAATTGACAGAGGAAAAACAAATATATTATTCGTATGAATCATGCAATTAGCTCATAGTTGATTACACTTCTGTCCAATTTTGACAATTCAAAATCTTTGATCTGAATTGATTTGCAAATCAAATACTGCAATTGTTCAATTTTATATTCAGCAGAAATAATAGAAATTAAAGTCAATATTCCCGTTAGTGCTTTCAAATTTATTCAACTTTTTAATTACAAAAATAAAATGCACGCAGGATATTATTCTGCAGCGATAACTTTCTTTTCGTTTTGTCTGCAATGTGCACAATGCATAAACTAAAGTTCGACACGTCATTTCAGCACTGACCTCTCAATTTCGTTCTCGCTACTACATCTTGCTTAAAGGCTAATCCGATCATCTTACAGAACTGTCCTTCTTCGAACAAAGCTGATATAATAACTGAATGCTGACTTGCTTTCCAAGTCCTAAATTGAAACTGGGCAGTTTAGCAAAACATTTGAGATAAAGATTGCAATAGTTTTCTGGCTTGCTGTGAAAGCCAATCTCTGTGCACATACAAATCGTATCCATTGTACTAATATGATAGCCAAAATCATGGCATAACTTCGAGCATAATATATTTGCCCTATTTAGCTTGATAACCTCTCACTCGCGGTAAAAATGTGTTTCGAACCATTTCCAGTACTTGTTTAATACCCTTCAAGTTCGTTTTTTTAATCCTGAATTATCTTGTAAATCTTGCTAATGGATCTGATTATATTTATTTCTATAAAAATACAAATATATCACATATATGCACAGAAACATGAGGGTTTCGTACTAACATGAGAAAAATTCATGCTAGTACGCGATGATCATATGATTGGGGCATCTTCCCCTTCTCCAGCCACAATTCTGCAAATAAATAGATTACCACGTGGCCAGCTTTAACTAAATTTTATAGAGTTATCTCCATAAAATCTAGTTTTACAATACTATATGCACTTAACCAAAAACAAATAAACTTCTGCAAATAAATAGATTACCACGTGGCCAGTTTTAACTAAATTTTATAGTTATCTCTATAAAATTTAGTTTTACAAAACTATATACACATTAACCAAGAAACAAATAAACTAGCACGTAATTTTTAAACACAACATTATATACAGAACAATACAACCAAAAAGCATACATATACATATATATATATATATTTACAAATTTAGAAAAACATTAGTATTGCCTCGACCATTTAATTACGGTCGAGGATTCCACTATTTCATCAAAATATGCAGGTTTCAATACCTGCATTTCTTCCCATCTTCGTTGACAAGATTTCTCCCTCTCCACTCAGAGGGATTCATCAGCCCAGAAAAAACAAAATCACGGTCACTATCATGACCGTGAGAACCACTCATGTTAGTACGCGATGACCAGACTTCTAGCCTGCAAATAAATTGATTACCACCTGGCCAGTTTTAACTAAATTTCTATAGAGTGATCTTCATAAAATCTAGTTTTACAATACTATATAAACTTAACCAAGAAACAAATAAACTAGCACATAATTTTTAAATACAACATTATATACAGAACAATACGACCAAAAACGCATAAATATACAAATATATACCTATATATATGTATATACATACAAATTATATACATACCAGCTTTATTATTATCGCCTCGACCATTTAATGGTGTTACGGTCGAGGCTTCCAGCACTCCATTAAAATATGCAGGTTTCAATACCTGCATTTCTCCCCATCTTTGCTGACATGATTTCTCCCTCTCCACTCAGAGGGATTCATCAGCCCAAAAAAAACAAAATCACGGTCACTATCATGACCGTGAAAACCATTCATGTTAGTACGCGATGACCAGACTTCCTGCAAATAAATTGATTACCACGTGGCCCGTTTTAACTAAATTTTTATAGAGTTACCTTCATAAAATCTAGTTAATACTATATAAACTTAACCAAGAAACAAATAAACTAGCACGTAATTTTTCAACCACAACATTATATACAGAACAATACGACCAAAAAAGCATAAATATATATCTATATATATGTATATGCACACAAATTATTACATACCAACTTTATTAGTATCGCCTCGACCATTTAATGGTGCTTCTTACGGTCGAGGCTTCCAGCACTCCATTAAAATACGCAGGTTTCAATACCTGCATTTCTCCCTATCTTTGTTGATAAGAGTTCCCCCTCTTCACTCAGAGGGATCCATCAGTCCAGAAAAAAACAAAATCACGGTCACTATAATGACCGTGAAAACCGCTCATGTTAGTACGCGATGACCAGACTTCCTGCAAATAAATTGATTACCACGTGGCCCGTTTTAACTAAATTTTTGTAGAGTTATCTTCATAAAATCTAGTTTTACAATACTATATACACTTAAATGTGCAGGTTTCAATACCTGCATTTTCCCCACCTTTGTTGGCAAGAGTTCTCCCTCTTCACTCAGAGGGATCCATCAGCCCAGAAAAAAACT